GAGAGAGAGAGAGAGAGAGAGAGAGAGAGAGAGAGAGAGAGAGAGAGAGAGAAGGTGGCTAGGATTTGTGAAGGGAAGAGCTCTCTAGAGTTTTAGTAGAGATTCTGACGTACCTCATCCTTGTGCGTGCCCAGGTATTTATAGGGGGCCTTGACGAGGTTGGTGAGGTAGGTGAGGTTGGTGAGGTTGGTACATTTATGGATTTGATTAATTAGGGAATTAATCAAATCCCTAATTGTGGTAGGTGAGGTTGGTGGAGTTGGTGTATTTAGGGATTTGATAATTAGGGAATTAATCAAATCCCTGATGGTGGTAGGTAGGTTAATTTCCAACATAATTAGGTAATTCCTCATTTAATTGGATAACCCCCAATTAAATTGAGTAACTCCCAATTAGGTTTAGAAATTCCCAATTAGGTCAAATAATCCCAATTAGGGTTCTGATTTAATTTGGCTCCCACAGCGACAACGATGAAGCATTCCAAATTGGGGATCTGAGAAAGTTGAACCTTGAGGGACGTCTGGAAATACGACTTGTGGGGGATGCGATAGATAGGAGCGAGGTTGAGAAAGCACCATTGTTGGACAAAAAGCTATTTCATCTCACCGTTCATTTTGAAAGGGAGACGAACAATAGTAGTAGTAGTGTAGAAATACTGAATGCCTTACGACCGCACCCGGATTTGGAATCTTTAGATATTTGGCATCATAATGGCACCACATGGCCCAATTGGATTCAGTCTTTACACAATTTGAGATTCCTTAGTGTTGGTTGGGGGACACAGTGTGAACTTTGGCCTCTTGGGAAATTGGAGTACCTTGAAAGATTGACCCTATTATGCATGGAAGGAGTGAGAAAGGTCGGTGTTGAATTTTTGGGATTAGAAGATCAAACCTCATTCAGAATCAGATCAACACCCCTGATATTATTCCCAAAATTGAAACTACTCATCTTTTGGCATATGGAAGGGTGGGAAGAGTGGGAAGGTGTGGAAGAGTGGACAAAAGAGGATTCTGAAATTACAATCATGCCATGCCTTTGTGAGTTAAGAATTTTCAACTGCAAATTGCTAAAAGCACTGCCAGACTTCGTCTTCAAAACACCACTGCAGACTCTTTGCATCGCTGGATCTGAGAAACTTTTAGAGAGTTACCAAGAAGGGAATGGAGAGTGGGCCAAGATTTCTAGTACGATCCCAAAAATCCGCATTATCAGGTAACTGAGCTCTAGCAATCTCTTATTTACATATATATATATATATGTATCAATTCCAAGTATGATCATATTTGTTTCCTTTAAAATCTTCAGAGGGTAGTGACTCGCAAGGCACATTTATGAAAACATCTGACTCGCAAGGCATATATAATCTTTTGTATTTGCTGTTGATGAAGCTGGTGAATTTGGGCTTGCAATTTGCCTGGGTTTCTCATCTACAAATCAACCTAAGCTGAGCTACTGAGGTCCCCCCAAATTTTATGGAAGATAACATCTCATGGCCATGAACCCTGTGACCTTCTACCTGACACTACCAAATCAAAACGACAGTGGCATGTGGTCCGGGCATGCTGCTATGTTTCACTTACAATTCACCCTCTGAAAATGGGTGATTGGCGTGGAGTTGGAAATGGGTTGGAGAGTGTAGTAAAAAAAGCAAATAAGAAGATAATGTAATAAATAAAAAGGTAAAAGCAGGTTGACGAAAAGTGCAAGTGGAAAATTAGTCAAAAGATAATGGCTCTTGAAATCATGAAAGAAGTCTGTGTGTGTGATTCTTCAAAGTTGGCTGCACTTTCCAGCGCACCAGCACTACTTCATTGTCTTTTTCAGATTCTGCCATTACTATTATCTCTCATTGTGATTCTGATTTCCATTATCTCATTCTGACTCTTTTTTGGAGGGAGCTATAAAACACCTTCGAGGTTTTTAAGTAGTTTTTACAAAATCCACTTTTATTTGACTGTTCGTCCAAAAATTGATAATTTTATTTATATAAAAATTTATGCAAATGACAAAGTTAGGCTCAATGAATGTATTGTAATCTAACCTCAAATACTACTTTTGGCTTTTAAAAAAAATGTCTATAGGCTAAATTGACAATGGTGTGATAATTCAAGGGCAAATAGGCAGATACCGAAAACAAAATTTAGAAATCAATCAATCAATCAATGTTGTCGTTAATCTTGTCTTGTATGATAAGGTCAAGAGTGCCTTGCGACCGCACCCAGATTCGGAATCTTTATGGATTTACAATCATAATGGCACCACGTGGCCCAATTGGATACAGTCTTTACACAATTTGAGATTCCTTATTGTTTCTTCGAGTACACATTGTGAACTTTGGCCTCTTGGGAAATTGGAGTACCTTGAAAGACTGACCCTATGGAATATGCTTAAAGTGAGAAAGGTCGGTGTTGAATTTTTGGGATTAGAAGATCAAACCTCATTCAGAATCAGATCACCACCCCTGATATTATTCCCAAAATTGAAACAACTCTACTTTGCACACATGTGGGGTTGGGAAGAGTGGGAAGGCGTGGAAGAGTGGACGAAAGAGGATTCTGAAATTACAATCATGCCACGCCTTTCTGAGTTAACAATTCGAGGCTCCAATTCGCTAAAAGCACTGCCAGACTTCCTCTTCAAAACACCACTGCAGACTCTTGAGATCTATGGATCTCCCAGACTTTTAGAGCGTTACCAAGAAGGCAATGGAGAGCGGGCCAAGATTTCTGCTACGATCCCAAACATCTGCATTATCAAGTAATTGAGCTCTAGCAATCTCTTAATTATTTACATACTTATGTATGAATTCCAACTATGATCATATTTGTTTCCTTGAAAATCTTCAGATGATGGTAACTCGCTAGGTATTTTTCTTCCTACTAAAACTATAAGTAATTGTTGGCATATATGATATCATAATTTTTCTACGAAGGGGATTTTTAAAATGAGCATGAAAGGTGCTTTGATGTTTGTTTTGTTAAATCTCTGGTGTTAATTTTCAATTAGCTAGTATTAATAAATTAATTTACTTGTTATGCCACACGAGGTTTGTTGTTTTGTTTAATCTGCAAGTATTAGCTTTAGTTGTTTCTCAAAAAATTTAATTCCCTCTAAGAGAAATGATTGCAAGAAGCAAATTAATTGATCAACTATGTATGTGTCATCATTTCAGGGACTCTATTGAAGCAAGCAGAGAAGATCCAATAACTTCGTGAACACATTATTTTTGGTTTTTGTAAGCAGAAACTTGGTGAACACCTTATGATATATATTCAAGAAAATAATTGAATGAAGATAGGAAAAGATAGGGAAAGATAAGGGAATCCAATAAAGTGAGATGGACAAAGCTGAGCAATAATTCAGAATATGATTGAAACAAGACAATAGGTGATGAGAAAGGGTTCAGAAAATAATTGAAGAACACAAGTGGAGGTGGGCAAAAGTTCAGAACATTATTGAAGTGCCCTTTATGATATATATTTTTTCCTTAGTCCTTTATGAATTTAGGAGTTAGTGTTTTCGATTTTTGATATTGAAATCCTTGATATTGGAAAAAAATAAAATTAAAGGATTGCAAAAAAGAGCCAAAGCGATAGATTGGTAATGATTATTACTTAGTAGAAAATAAGAGTTTAAGATGGAAGAGACATGAATTTCTATTTCTTTTATTGTTGTTGTTACAATAGAAAAACAAAAAAACAAAAAACAAAATCAAGGTAAAACTGTAATCATTGATGTACATATATATATATAACATATACATTTAAAAAAATTGGGGGCCCTAAAAAATTGGAGGCACAAAGAACTAACGTAGAATCGAAATTAGAGAAATGAAAAAGCATTTGTGGATCTGCGGCAATCAATTACAATTCATTTTCTGAAAACGAATTCGTAAATCACTTTCCGAAATTTCATATGTAATACCTTGATCCTTGATTTTAATACTTAGAATTAGTAAATAAATACCCATAGTCAATAGAACTAAAATTAAGTAATATGCATCATATCTCCATCTAGAGGCGGACAAAAAAATTGTTGTCACCGGTAAACAAGGGCGGCTTTATTTTAGTGTTGTCACCCTATATCTTGGTAATGCTTCATGTAAGGTCAAGAAAGACAGTCTGGCACACTCACCAGCTCCAGATTAGAATATATGTCAACTTGTCACTTTAAAATATAGTGTCCCTGTTATGCATCTTGAAATTGACTTGGAGTTTGCCTTGAAGACTTACTCAGCATATAAACTGGACATAAGAAAGGGAATACCACAAACAATCATCCTGCAATCAGTTCTTGTTCGTAAACACTGTCAACCAATTTCTAAAGCTAGAAATAATGGTTGATGCTCTCATTTCCGTGCTGCTAGAACGGTTGGCCTCGACAACCTATGAATACATAGAAGGAGAGCTGAAACATGTTTTGAACGTTAAGGAAGATGTTGAGAAATTCACTCGGACACTCCGAGTTATTCAATCTATGCTTGAGGATGCAGAGCAACGCCAAGTGACGGATCAAGCTGTCAAAATCTGGTTGGATGAGCTGAAAGATATATCCTACCAGATGGTGGATGTGCTGGATGAGTGGAACACTGACATTCTGAGACAACAAGTTGAGAAGCAAGAAAGAGAAGGTGATCCAAATGCTCTTGTTACAAAGAAGAAGGTACGCTTCTCTAGTTTCTCCCGTTGCTTTTGTTTTGGCAAAGTCAGTCGGGTGATTCTTCGCCGTGACATTGCTCTGAAAATAAAATATCTGAATGATAAGTTAACTGAGATTTATGAGGAAAGAAAAAAGTACCACTTTCTACGCAAAGAATTAGGCATAATTCAACAACCTCAACAACCTCAACGACCTCAAACTGCATCTTATGTCAATATGTCAGAGATATTTGGTCGTGAAAAGGAGCAGAATATTTTGATAACAAAGTTGTTGGGTGATAGTAGTGAAGAAGACAAGGGGCTTCTTCTCATCCCTATTGTAGGGATGGGAGGCATGGGAAAGACAACTCTGACCCAACTAGCCTATAATGATGACCGAGTCAAATCCCATTTTGATATGAGGAAATGGGTTTGTGTTTCAGACCCTTTTGATGGGATTAAGATTGCCAAAGCCATTAGTGGCGATTACGCCCCAAGTTCAAATGAATTGGATGAGGTCTTGCAATGTATGTCTAGATCCATCCAGGCCAAAAGGTTTCTCCTTGTCTTGGATGATGTATGGACCGATGATCCTAAAAAGTGGGAAAAATTAAAGGTACCATTAATCCAAAGTGGTGCTAAAGGCAGCAGAATACTGGTGACCACAAGAAAACTAGAGGTTGCTAATATGATGAGAGCAACAAGAAACATGATCAATCTGGGAGGGTTGAGCGATGAATATTGTTTGTCAATCTTCAATCACATGGCCTTTTCGGATAGGGATGTACAAGAGTTTGGAGATATTAGCAAGGAAATTGTAAAGAAGTGTAAAGGTTTGCCTCTTGCTGCAAAGACTTTAGGTAGTCTCATGCTGAATAAGAGAACAATGAGAGAATGGAAAGAGGTTTTGAAGAGTAAGATATGGGATCTAGAGAAGGTCGAGCAAGAAGTTTTCCAACCCTTATTCCTAAGTTATTATGATTTGTCCCCAACAATTAAATCTTGCCTTTTATATTGTGCTACTTTTCCTAAAGATTACGAGTTTCAACGAGATGATCTGATTAACCTTTGGATGGCACAAGACTATATTATTTCGAAAGGAAATAAAGAAAAGGGAACAACGGGTGATGCAGTTTTTAACAACTTAGTGGCACGATCATTTTTCCAAGATTTTGAGAAAGATTTTGAAACTGGTACAATTACAAGTTGCAAAATGCATGATATTGTGCATGACTTTGTGCAATTTCTCACCAAGAATGAGTGTTTGATTATGGATCACGCTGAGGGTGCTACTAGCGAATCAAAGGTATTGGATGATAAGGTTCGTCATTTGACCTTGAGATATGTTCCTAAAGGTCCACTTCCACTTTCTATCTCATCTTACAATTGCAAAAATCTTCGCACGCTCGCAACTTTTGATTCAAAAATTACTACCATGGACCCAAATTTAATTTTACAATTGAAAAGTCTTAGGACATTAAATTTGAGTGGTAATTCCATCAAAGAACTCCCAGAGGAGATTGGTGAATTGATACATTTGAGGCATATTGATTTGTCTCACAATAGTGATTTGGAGAAATTACCAGACACTATTTGTGGTTTGTACAATTTGTCCACCTTGAGCCTTCGTTTTTGCTATAAACTTAAAAAACTGCCTGAAAACATGGGAAACTTGATTAATTTAAAGCATCTTTATGTTTTGGGTGGAGGTCTAGAGTCGTTGCCCAAAGGGATAAGGAGATTAACAAGTTTACAAACACTAGATGTGTGTCGGTGTGGTGGTGACAACGATGAAGCATTCCAAATTGGGGATCTAAGAAAGTTGAACCTTGAGGGAATTCTCAGAATACAACTTGTGGGGGATGCGACAGATAAGAGCGAGGTTGAGAAAGCACAATTGTGGGACAAAAAGCTATTTCATCTCGCCGTTGATTTTGAAAGGCAGCCGAACAGTAGTAGTAGTGTAGAAATACTGAATGCCTTACGACCGCACCCAGATTTGGAATCTTTAACGATTAGGCATCATAATGGCACCACGTGGCCCAATTGGATTCAGTCTTTACACAATTTGAGATTCCTTAGTGTTGGTTGGGTGGCAGAGTGTGAACTTTGGCCTCTTGGGAAATTGGAGTGCCTTGAAACACTGACCCTATTACGTATGGAGGGAGTGAGAAAGGTCGGTGTTGAATTTTTGGGATTAGAATATCAAACCTCATTCAGAATCAGATCACCACCCCTGATATTATTCCCAAAATTGAAACAACTATCGTTTCTCTATATGTTGAAATGGGAAGAGTGGGAAGGCGTGGAAGAGTGGACGAAAGAGGATTCTGATATTACAATCATGCCATGCCTTTCTAAGTTAACAATTTACGATTGCAAATTGCTAAAAGCACTGCCAGACTTCCTCTTCAAAACACCACTGCAGACTCTTCGTATCCCTAGATCTGAGAGACTTTTAGAGCGTTACCAAGAAGGCAATGGAGAGTGGGCCAAGATTTCTGCTACGATCCCAAACATCCGCATACAAAGACGGTAACTGAGCTCTAGCAATCTCTTATTTACATATATATATGTATGAATTCCAACTATGATCATATTTGTTTCCTTGAAAATCTTCAGATGATGGTGACTCGCAAGGCACATTTATGAAAACATCTGTCTCGGCAGCATATATAATCTTGAGATGGTGACTCGATAGGTATTTTTCTTCCTACTAAAACTATAAGTAATTGTTCGCATATATGATATCATCATTTTTCTATGAAGAGGATTTTAAAAATGAGTAAGAAAGGTGCTTTGATGTTTGTTTTGTTAAATCTCTGGAGTTAATTCTCAATTAGCTAGCTAGAGAAATGATTGCAAGAAGCAAATGAATTGATCAACTATGCATGTGTCATCATTTCAGGGACTGTATTGAAGCAAACAGAGTGATGTAAACCATCAAAAGTCAGCCTACGGAAGTTCCAATAACTTCGTGAACACCTTATTTTTGGTTTTTGTAAGCAGAAACTTGGTGAACACCTTATTTTTTAAGGTAGAAGCAATTCAGATTATCTACTCTGTATATGTATTGATCATTTGCAAAACTTCCTTTGTGTCATTAATTTGTAAGTTGTACTCTGAGATTCAGTCTCTAGTTTAGACTATACCTCGTCGCTTAGTTGGCAGCTATAGCAATTGGGTTTGCAATTTGCCTTGATTTTCTTTTGGGTTTGCAATTTGCCTGGGTTTCTCATCTACAAATCAACCTAAGCTGAGCTACTGAGGTCCCCCCAAATTTTATGGAAGATAAAATCTCATGGCAAGTGGAGCCTGTGACGTTCACTCAGCAAGTGGAGCCTGTGGAGCCTGTGTTTGCTAATAAGAATTTATGCTCTCTCTCTCTCTAATTGATGGATGAATTTAATTGGGTTTGTGTGTGACGTTCACTCAGCAAAACACATAATTGTGTGAAGATTTCCGACACATAATTGGGTCTTTGGTATATGGACTGGACATTTCATTTGATGTATACAAATGAAGTATACCTAAAATAATAATAATCAAAGGAAATCATCTGTCTTGTTCACAAATCAATACCATGAAATGAAATTAAAGCTCTTTCCTTCCAAGGTTTGTTTTGGAGGAAAATGACTTTGGAAGATATGGTCACGTCACGTTTTAGATTTTGTTCACTTCCAGACATGTAAATGCTAATCAATAAAGCCTTTAGTATTAAAATTTTATAAAATAATAAATAAAAAAACAATAAAGCCTTTTACATTTAAATAAATCTATTTCCTTTATTCACAAACGTAAATTACACATACATCCATTGTATTTGACCTAATTCCATATACATCGCTTAGGGTTGTGCTTTGTTAGTTTGTTTCTTCTTCATGTTTCTTATGTATTCGCTAGAGTCAGATCATTCTAAGGCCCATTAATGATAAAGTCAGCCCGCCCATAAACGGCCAAGTCGGCCTACTGAATGGCCCAAAAAAGACAAATTTAACCCACTTAATGGCCATTAAAGTAAAAAATGAGTCCCTAAAAGCCTACAAGGACAAACATACCCACCGAAAAGGCCACTAGGGGCTTGTAAACAAAAAAACACTCCAATACATGCCCATAAAAGGCAAAAAAGGCCCACTAACAATCAATAAAAAAAGCCCACTGCAAGGGCCATAAACGACAAAATAGGCCTAATATGTGGGCCATAAAAGGCAAAATAGGCTCACTGCATGGGTCATAAACGATAAAATATGCCTACTGAAGAGTCCATAAACAACAAAATAGGCCCGCTAAAGGGCCAATAAATGACAAAACATGTAACATCTTGTCTTGGATTTTAAACTTGTTTTTAAAATTTTAAAATGAATGGATGGTTTTGCCGTTTTAAAGTGGTTTAGAGGCCACTCTTTGTTCAAGATTGGTTTTGCCATTTTAAAGTGGTTAAGGCTCCAATTCGTGGAAAGCGTTCTTATGAGTTCGTAGACACGTACTATGCGTAAATTATAGTCAGAAAGTTACGATCAACAAAAGTGCAGTGGCACAACTGTAATTTTCAAAAAAGTCAAAAAAAATTTTAATTAAAAAAAACTCACGACAACTTTCTCTCTACTCACCTTTTCTTCTCTCTCCTCTCTCCCTGATTCTAACTCCTCTATTGTGAAAAAAGGGCGAATAGCACATGAGGAAAATTTCTAACACCTTTCGATTGTGACACGCAATGAGACCGATCGAGAATTTCTCCTCTTCGACCCACAAACCTTTCCCCCAGCACCCCTAGTCCAATTAACCACTGTAATCGTCTAATTTTGGACGGAGAATTTTGGGATGTTTGCACAGTTGATGTTGCTGTTTTCAAAGGCAATTCCTCGAGCTCCGGCCACCTATGGCCATTATTCTTCTTAGAAAATGTGCGCCTCTCCTCCCTCTACATTTTCCCTAAGTTAGTCGATGTTGTTATTGGCTATCGTCAGCGCTGCGAGCTCGAGAAGCTCCCACCAAAACCTTCACGAGTTTGGCTTTTTTTAGGCCAATCCGACCATTTTTCAGCCAAGGTCAAAAAGTAAAATGTGTTCCCCTTGAAGTGCTTGTGGTTGTGGAATATTGGGTTGTCGGCAATTTGGACTTTTTTGGTCGCCAAAAAACTCCTCAAGCCACGAGTCGCAGCTGGTGGTGCGTGAGCACCTAGTGGAGCATACTTTGCTTCGTTATTGTCTTTACGTCGTCTCAAGCACAAAGATAAGCTTGGATTGGCGACATTCTATCGTTTGATTGGTGAACGGAGTTTTGCCTATTAAGTATTGATTAATTGGGAAACTTGAACCATCGGATTGGTTCTAGCTTCGAATATGTTGTTCCCTGTAGAAGAAGAGAAGACACCTAAAGTTCATGATTTGGTTCGATTCTTCTAGACACTTTCTATAACAACCGCACCGTGTGCAATTTCCCATTTAGTTCTAATTTGAGAGAAAAATCGGACCAAACTGCACTGTGCCCATCCATATTCTCTTACATAATGTTCTTTTGGGCCTTCGCGAAGAGGGGTTATGTGCTTCACTAGGTAAAACAAAATGAGAAGGTGACTCACATAAAATGATCATCTTGTCCTTAAATTTGAAGAAAAATTTAACATATAATGATGTTAAGACCAATGATGCTAACAAAAGGGGAATTTAGGGTCTAAATGAGTCATTTTTACAGTTGAAGGATCAAAATGTGAATGGAACACAATTTCAGGGCTTATTGCTCTCCTAAGGCCATCTCTAACAGTGGGCTAAATTTAGCCCTTTCACATCCAAAACCCGTCTTCAACAAATGGGCTAAACGTGCCATGTCACTAGGCCATACCCAATCAACAGGCCGAAGGGTCAAATGATGGGCCAAATGTGGCCTATTTCTTAGGTGGGCTATATCTTATTTTATTATTTATTGGGTGGGCCAGTTATTATTTTTAAATTAAACTATTGTTGTTGTTTTTAAATTAATGTTTTAGTTTCTTGGGCTTTAAATTAATTCTATCATATCCAATTTATTTATTTTTTTTCTAAATCCTATCCGAAAATATTTTTATCTTCTAAAATAGATTTTAAATATGGTCATTTTAATTAAATCATCCAATATATTTAAAGAATATACTAAAAACTAATAAAATATTGAGAGGCTATGATTTAACCCTGCACTAATGGAGAAGGTAAAAATATAAACCAGCACTATTTCTTAAAAAATTATAAATAATAGGCTAAATTTTATAAGTGGGCTATGTTTAGCCCTCCACTGCTATAGATGGCCTAAGAAGTCCAAGTTCGGCTAAAGGCCAGTTTACAAAACAGTGTATAAGGTCTGCATGCTCCAGACTTGGGCTGGACTTTCTACACTAGGCCCATTCGCTGGTCCTGCCTTCCCAACTTAACCCAATCTTCAATTTTCTCGTTGAATTTTCTAGAGGAAGAGAAAAGAAATTCACGGAGGGAAGAGAAAGCGGTAAAGGGAAAAGTACCCAGAAGAAAAACTCAGAAGATTGTTTTGTGCGAATGAAAAACTAATCGGAAGATGAAGGACCCATTGGTGAGGACGAAGGTGTTAGTTCGGCACTTGCCTCCGTCTCTGTCTCACTCCGATCTCCTTCAGCAAATCGACCATCAACTCGCTGACCGCTACAACTGGTTTTGCTTCCGTCCGGGAAAGAACAGGTTAAGTTTTTTCTATATCTTTTAATATTGTTGCTGTGGCTTAGAAAATTTTGGACAGGAAAATTAGGTTTAGGATTGCTTTGTTCTTTTTTTTTTTTTTAATTCCAGAGGGGGCTGGTTTTCGATTTTTGTTTCCCTTGAATATGGTTGGGTTTTTTTTTTTTTTTTTTTTTAAATGGGAATTTTTTAGTTGGAGCTGTTCTTTTAACAAATTTTTTTACCGGTAGCAATCTAAGTGATTGTTCATTTTTATTGCGCCTGAAAGCAAAATTTGATTTTGATCTTAAAAGCAAGGAAAACCACTTCAAAATGCATTTCTTAACACTTTTTGTGGCATGGAGAAATTGAGAGTTTGTGTAGAGATGTTTATTTCTTGTTTGCTTTCAAGGGGTTTCTGAAACAAAAAGGTTTTAGGCATTTTATATTAACTCAAATGACTATTATTTATTTTTGTGGGTGTAGTTTGTTGAGTTTTAGTTATTATGATGGGATGTCAGACTTCGACATAGAGTCCCTACTCTTAAACTTGGCCTAGTCTAAATAGACTTGGGAATGTGTTTTGTTCCCTTCTCTTCTCAGTTGCTAAATTTTTCTTTTCAAACTTTTTCATAAAAGCCAGAACGACTTCTGTATTTGGGTGGACTCTCATGATACATGGAAATTAGGTTTTGAAACTTAAAAGTTCTATTTCTTTCTTTTTCATTTCTTTGCAAAGAATTTGAGAATAAGGCATTTTCTCACTTCCGCGTTTTCTGTTAAAATAATGTTGCAGCCAGAAGAATCAGAGGTACTCTCGAGCCTACATAGACTTCAAGCGGCCTGAAGATGTTTTCGAGTTTGCTGAATTCTTTGATGGACATGTGTTTGTTAATGAGAAGGGTAATAAAAAAATCAAATATGTTTATTTTACCACGTTACAAGCATCTAGAAATTTCTTAGCTTTAGTTTATGCTTCTGTGAGAATTTTTTATTTAATGAGTTACTTTTTTATTGGTATATACTAATGTTTCTTTGTACTTTCATGTATATTAAACTTCAATAGAAAAAAATTTCTTATGGAGACACTGATTGATTCTTCGTGCACCGTGTTGTTAGAGTGTCATTCTTATATTGTTTTTGAAGCTTGAAACTAGAATTTTTATTCTTTTCTCAGGGTCTCAGTTCAAGGCTATAGTTGAATATGCACCCTCACAGCGTGTTCCAAAACCATGTACCAAAAAGGATGGCCGTGAAGGGACTATATATAAAGGTACTAAGTTAGGACTAGACGAGGAAAGAAAAAAAAAGAAAAGAGGAGTATAAAACAGAGATGAGAGAGGCAACAAAGAATAAATAGATTTGAAATTAAAAGCTCAAATCTGTTCATTTAGTTTTTATTTGAACAACCATTGTATGCTTTCTCACATCGCAAATGTCTCTTCTTTTTGTTGTCTCCCTCTCCCACTAAAGAAAAAACAACTGAAATACACAATGGAAACATTTCAAATGGGCATTTAGTTCTCAAGTAATAAGCTCTTATGATATCTGGATCTGACATAGGCAATTTGTTGGCTTGTATGACTAACTGCTATATAATTGACGTATGTAGATCCTGATTATTTGGAGTTCCTAAAACATATTGCGAAGCCTGTTGAGCATCTTCCTAGTGCAGAAATACAGCTGGAAAGAAAGGAAGCAGAACAAGCTGGTCAGTTATACATTTACCGACTCTATGTACACGTCTTATGACTGTAAAAATAATTGATGATTTTGTCACTTTTTTCTTCTTAGATGACCACACACCACCTTCATATTCATACTAGAAATGTATGACACAAGACCCTTCAATCCCCACCCCCAAGAAAAAGAAAGGGGTTGAGGCAGTACCTTGTTTTGTTCAGTTTATTTTTTATTAAGGAAAAACTAGTTTGACTAGCATAACTGCCTCTAGATATTTGGCTGTCTAGTTTCCCCTCTTCTCCTTTTGCTTGTGATGAAAGATATTTACTGAAGGGTAAAAGTTGGTTGTCTCAAGATTTGAAAGTATTCCTCTGTTACTTTGTTAGGTGGTGCAAAAGAGCCTCCTATTGTTACCCCCCTCATGGAGTATGTTCGTCAGAAACGAGCTATTGGAAGTGGGACCCAGGTAATGGCACAAATTTTTTTTCTTCTATGTGTTTGTGTGTTGAAGAATACAATTTTGGGAAATTAAATGATATAAAAGTCATTTCAAGAGCATTCTTGTGAAAATCCTAGGCTCTTGTGTAACCTTTTGACTGACTATGGAGCCCCATTTAACACACTAATGACCAAGAAATTTCTTAGTGATCACCTTATCAAATAATCTCTAATTTTATAATGAAATTACGAAACCATCTAATGAATTACAGTAGTTGGATCCCTACTTTTATGTACTTGCCCGTGCACACTTGCTTGTATTTGGAAGTGTGAGTATTTACCTACTGAGTAAGAGTGATTGGCCTTTCATTTTTATACGCTAGCCTTTAACACGTGAACTCATCTTTGAGAAAAATCTTAGTTAAAAGTAAGATAGATCACTATGGTGGTCCAGAGGTTGGTTTTGGACAGAATTAGATATCTAGCTTCTTTTTTTTGGGTATTTTTGTCTAAGCATTTTTCCTTTAGGGTTTACATCTTGACTAGAAGAGTTTTGAGTAATTGTAACTTAATTTTGGTACACCACAGTAGTTGCTTTTTGCTTAGATAGACTTCTTGTTCAGCTTTCTAGCCTTATTTTCTCTTTTTCCTATCTAAAAAAAACGAAGAAAGCACAAGGGGCATGTATCTCAAGTGGTTAAAGAGCATGTACCCTTGCACCCGAGGTTGTAGGTTCAATTTCCTCCTCCCCCAATATCGCTTGAGTCAAAAAGGGAAAAAAAAAAATCGAAGAAATTGTGCCTGTAAATACAGTGGAACAAATGAGATGTTAAGTTTGCCCCAGGGGGTGGGTAGCAGATGGAAATGGAATTCTTGTCTTTGTGTTTACGCAGGAACTTTTGTATTACAACCACATGAATTTTTGGTATGTTTTAATGATGAACAGGGGCAACATTGTATATTGATAGAAGTCTAATTCCTGACTAGTAGCTCATTTAAAATTTTCCCTGCTCTCTCCCAAAAAGAGAAGATGTGTTTCTTTGAATCCAATGAATCCAACCCATGAGTGAGGGGCACATGTGCACGAGACTGGACGCTTTATATGACAATGAAATGAAAACACAACACCTTGGGAAGTGTTTGATGGGGCCCAGTGTTTGACATCATTGCAGTAAAGCGAGAAATGGTCACCTGATATGAGTTAGATGGCTATCATTGCTTAATACAAGTATTGCATAAGTTGACAAATTAAGGCCTCCATTAATTTTCTTTTGACCTTTTAATCATAACAAGTTTGTGTTATTTCATAAAAAGGTGAAATGTAAACTTTCTTTCCTGTATCCGGATAAGTCTTACTTTATATTTTTATTTATCTAAAAGTCCTTTGAATTATCGAATTTTGTGTTTGATAATAGGTTTCATCAGTTGTTCGGAAGGTTAGAAGAAGAGCAGGGGCTGCATCTCTTAACAAACGTGGCTCAACTTCTACAAAACGGGTCTCTGAGAAGAAAAAGGCATGTAAATCAGTTCTTATATTTTTCATGAGATGCAAAATATATTTCCACGAAATAACTTTTCAGTTGATAATTTTTGAAAATATTACATTCATTTGGTTAATTTTCTCAGTTTCATCACTTACGTGCAGCTTTGAGTCTTTGTGTTTACCAGTTGACATATTACTGTGACATGTACCATGTGACATGGAAGCTTAGGGAATCGCTAAGCTCAAGTTACTTTTTTTATTGACAGTACATATTAAAGGACAGTGCTAAACATACAAGTCGAAAAGACAAGTCAACTTTCACTGTGGTCCCCAGGCGAGAGGATCAATTGGCCAGTTCAAGTGGAAAAGAAACCTTAGAAAATGAAATTGGTACTTAGTATTCTTTCATTATCAATCATTATGTTTTTTTCTATGAGATATTCGCTATTAAAACTATTGATGACAATTTATTGATTGGAGGAATTTCTGCCTCTAATTTTAGTTCTGAATTGGCCACTATTGTTAGTACCATTTGGTTGCAAGAAATTTTTTCCGATAGTATGCGGTTAGTGGTTATAATATTTTCTGTATTTTTTAGATAGGGTTGTCAATGGGTCAGATCAAAGATCTGAATTTAACTTAAATTCAATTAGGTAAACTATCATACAGAACAAGTGTGATGGTCGAATTAGATTCTAAGAGTCCGCTTATAGTTTATTAAATTCGGGATTGGGTACAATTGATTAGAACATTAGATTAAGATCTGAAATTGATTTTAAATAGTCATTGATGAAGCGCTAGATATTTGTATGAGATTTTATGTAAGTAATATTTTTTTAGATGGTTGTTTTGAAACATTCAAAGTTGATTACTTGTTAATGAACATTTCTTGATGCTGTTATCCTGGTTGCCTATAAGTGTGTGCTTATTGCTTTTTGTAAGTTTGAATAGGCTAAAAGATGGGTTGTTGACAGCTCTGCAAAATTAACTTGGTGCAGAATTAAACATAAGCTATCTTGTAAGTTGATTTTGTCAGTTTGGTAAGCAAAAGTTTTCTACAGAAGTCCAAAAGAAAAAAAAGGTTCCCACCACCTCATAAGTAGATTAATTCTACGGCCTGGTAGAGTCCATCATAAATTTAGAAGAGGATGTAAATGTGAACATTATGCAATATCATCACTTTTTAATGACCATTATACTGGATTATAGTAGAATTTTGAGGTAGCGGTTTCATTTGACTGAAATTTGAGGAAATGAACTTTCAATCTGCTTGCACAGGCCAAAATAGATACAAAATGGAAAGAAAAAAAAAGCCCATCATTTCTTTGTATTTTTTGTCTTTATCCTGTGTTCTTCATGTTTGCTTACTTTAAATTTCTACTATTGAAGGTTCTGTTTCGGGAATCCCTGTGATTGCAGACTCTGGAAAGAAGAAAATCCTACTCCTTAAAGGAAAAGAGCGTGAAATACCTTCTGTAAGTTCTCAATTTTTTCAGTTACCTAACTTGGTTGTCTCTGTTATTTCTGAGCCTTTTTTACTATTTAATACTTTATTACATGGACATTATCTACTATTTTACCACTCAATATATCATTTTGGATATGCTGTAATAGATTTTTTTATTTCCCTAGGCTTCTGAAGGTATGCTACCACAGGGGAGTGTAACATCCGTTGGAAGTTCTGTTTCAACTGCTCCAAAGCAGAACCAAAGGCGTGAGGCTGGTGGAAAGTTGATCAGAAGCATACTTTTAAATAATGAGGGACGCCAAAGTCAAAGTTCAACCGAAATTCAGCCTCAGCAGAAAATTCTAAGTCTGAACTCAGACGTTAAGCGGGCGTCTCGGCCCTCCAATGCAAGGTTAGGGTTGAATGGTCAAGTCTCTAATAATGAGCCTAACTCAATGAGCTCTGAAGGGGATAGAAAGAGGGCTGCAGTTGATAAATTTTCAAAGAAGGACCTGCATGGTACCACTAATGTTAGTGAGAAGCAAGAAAAACATACAAGAAACAAGGATAGACCTGATCGTGGTGTTTGGGCTCCTCTTCGTCGTGCTGATAGTTCACATGCTAGTGATGAGCATTTGCCATCCGTACCACAACGTCCTCAACTGCTCTCTGATTCCTTTGAAGGTAAAGGCTGTTGCTATACATGGATATTCAGGTGTTTGTCAGTCTATGGATGATCTATTTTTGGAACATGATTTTTGGTGTTAAATCATCCTCTTTCAAATCTTAAGCCTAGTCATAGGGAGGATATTTGTGTTGTTGTCATCAAGGAAATGTTATACACTCGCTGTTTATGATTTTCCAGTTTCCCATGGAGAAGTGAAGGATTGTACCTCTTATGGAAGCAGGACTGGGGAAGTTATAAATCCTACAAGTGGACGTAGTAGTTCTCATGTAGAGAATGGTTAGTTATATAATCAAAGCATGACACTAGCCACCCTGAACTTATCTGATGTCATTTATTTATATATTTATATCTTTGAAATAACACATGATTTTATTGATTACCAGTCCTGTAAAAACTTTTTTGCTTTGTCTAGGTTCACAAAGACATTTTGGTCGCCGTGGAAGTGCCCATAATATAAAAGATGATGGTTCTATAAATGTAAGTGAGGGAAAGCCATCTAAAAGAGGTGCTACTGTTCATGGTGCCCCTGAGGTATGCATCACTTGTCATGTAGGTTGCCACATTATTTTTATTTCACCTTCATTTTATCAGAAAGTGGTTGACAATCTTTCACTGTTTGCTAGCAGAAACAAGTGTGGGTTCAAAAATCATCTTCAGGTTCTTAGAATAACCAGGGCTGGTATGTCCTCAGTTACTTGCATGTTTTGCTTACTTCTTTTTCTTGCCTTAACTTTTTCTACACTTGTAGACAAAAGAAACTGCACTAGACTTTTCTGGTATTTGTTTCATGTCTCATACGGGTTCTACAACCCAAACACCCATGATTAATGATCAATCAAATTCATATTTGATGTAGGATATGGATGAATTGAGTATTTAGGTAATTTAGCGGAAGCAAAAACAATGACAAAACAGAAAGAAGATGGTAAAAGATGCCTTGGCTTCACACCAAGGAGTCTCCAATCTCTGGAAAATAAACTTTTCTCTATATCTCAACAACTCAACTCTATATTGAATTACATAGAAGGGTAATAATAACAATCTAACCCTAGAGTGAAGAGGAAAAATTAAACTTATTCTAGGAAAGAAATCCTAATCCAAATAAAAAAGGTAATCAAATCTAAATCGTATTAAATGAGTAAACCAAATCCTAGTCAAACAAGAAATCCTGAATCCTTCGAAGAGAGTCCTGTTAACACTCCTATATTATTGGCTTTCTGGACAATCACCAGACCCTTACTTAACTTATTGATTTTCTTGTGTAGCGAGCGTACCGGACTAACTTAACTTATTGATTTTCTTGTGTAGCGAGCGTACCGGACTAACTTACTCTTTCAGCGGTAAGAACTTAAGTATAGAAAACTTAGAAAACAAGTAAAAAACGCAAAAATCATCCATTGCTCCAAAATTGCCGGATTTAAAGACCAAATTAAATAATTTCCTCTTCCATCTTTTTCGTTTGTAAACCCTAATGGGTTGGACAAAGATGTCCTCATCAATATTGATATCATTGATTCAACTTTCTATTGTAGCAACTAAATATAGGCCATTACTGTCTTGCCTGAATATGGTAATATGTAATCATCATGGAGCACATGACCTTGGAACTATCCCTACTGTCTAGGAAAAGGAAAAGAAATTGGGTAATAATAACGTAAATTGCTTTTGTGTTTAGCCTTTGTAGTTTATGTTTCCTCGAGTGATGGACTGAGAACTTCACATATAAGAACTAAACTCCTTGCATCTTCTAGGCATTTTTAGTCTTCAAAGAAGTTTTATATTGCTTCGCATATCTGAGAGCATTATCTTGTATCTTATTTTAGGGAATATTCTCTGTAGTCTTTCTATCAGAGTGGACTCCCAGCTAAATATTTTTAAGTTTGACAAATTGACAATCTAGATCAGGTTTTCGGTGATGTTATAGCACTCAAATGGTTTATGAGGACACGCTTGTGGTGGTCATGGAGGCACATGTTAGGGACATATAATTTCTGGAAATACGTGGCAGAGTGGAAGTAAGGTGACAGATTGGGGAATTTTATGTTTATAATTCCTAGGATTTCCATGGGGATGGTTTCTGATAGCCTTCTGAATTTTAGCATGAAGGAACCACTAAAATGTGCCTTGTACCGAATTATTTGTGTGGCTGCAAGTGAAAAGGAAATTATGGCACCGTATAAGGGGCAGTCTGCGTTTTTCTTCACTCTCTTAGTGTTTAGATGTTCTTTAACTACTAAAGTTCTGTTGCAGTTTGCATGCATGGATTGTGCCACTTTGGCAGTTTCTAGTAAATATATTATTACTTTCTTTAAGGGTTGATGATGGTTGGGGGGCTTTTACAATTACGAGTATTACTGCAGTCAATAGCTGTTGTGCATTGAAGCAGAAGTGGAGTTTTATTTTGTTTAATGTAAGTTTATTTGTGGTTTAATGGTTTGGTCTGCAAAAGCGGGTCTTTCTGCATTTTGGGTGTATAGCCTGCATCTTGACAGCTGTTATATCTCATCTGCAATGAATGACCTTGGCCCAATTGTCTATGAAAAAGATTTGGTGGATTATAATGGTTTGCTGCCCTGTTGAAAACAGATTCTTTCATTCAGTCAGAACACTAAATTCCTCATATGTCCCAAGGCAATCATCTCTGTTATCGTGGCTTAAGGCCTCTACTGAAGACGTGGAAATGGGGGCTTACCTTAAAGGAGAACTTTTGGTTGGGCCAAATTAGGGTATGTCCGTGTGTTATTATTTTGAAATGGTTCCTAATCATGGGTTGCAATCTCACATGATATTTTCTTTTCATTTTTTTTTCCCCTCACTTTGTAGACCAAATTTTCTTATGGTATGATCCAATTTGTGCCGGATGGCCGGATAGCAGCATGCTCATTTGGAGTGCTGAGTTACGAGCCCTATGGACAAGATGACAAAAGTCTTGAGAGATGGTTTGACTTTTATCTTCATTGCATGACTTTATCGTTAAGTCATATGTATAGTTTAACTAGTAAAGTATTTCCTCAGGGGAAAATACTCCCAAGTCCTGATTGTTGTGATGTATAAGAATCTTCATGTCTATCTACCGACCCGTGATTGTGAACAATGTAACATAAACTAAGGAACATTTTGGTAAAGATAAAATTATGTACAATGGTTATTTTGTAATTCTAGCCAAATTTTCTTTACTGATTGTGAACAGTGTGCAATGTATTAATTTGCTCACGTACTGATTATTCGGTAAATCAGTTTTATAACCCCACGACTCGCTTGTCGCATGAATGGAAAACCGCCACCAATTTTTCTCAAAACTCATGGCTGAAAGCTCTAAAAATGGTGGATAGATCCCCTCGCATAGAATCGAGCTAGACTGACTGATTCTGACCCTGTTGTAAAGGCAAAAGAATAGGTAAGCTAGCGGCAAAGCAGGGTAGTTATGAGAGTTTGTACAAGCTTTTCTCGGCCTCTAAAAGATTAGCTAGCCAGGATGATGAGGAATAAGGAAGTTAGATGATGATGATCAGCATGATCATGAAGAGATCAAGAAGGGTAGTTATGATCATGGGAATAATAACAAATTGATGAAAAAGCCCTAGTGGCTCTTTGTTGGGACTGCTGCAGGCAATCCCAATATTCCAGGAGGGATGGCAGAGGTGGTGGTTTTCCATTCCTGTGTATATTTTCAGAGATTTGTTGTTCCACTTCGATTTTATGTATGGTCATTTTGTTATTGAAAGTGGGATATACGTCCAATACAAAAATGTATTAACAGTCATAACAAGTGTACTAACAATTAACCGTTAATACACATAAAATTTTAGCGTATTAGGTGGTTCATTGCCAATCCAATGAGAACTGTTAAACAACCACTAGTTCCAAAAGCTTTACATTGGACCACTTGCAAAGAAGGCTTTAATACCATGTTAGACGACTACTAACCTCAAAAACTTGAGCTATTAAAGAATAGGCTGATAATGTATATGAAGCTTACAATGCAAGGACAAGGACCACTGTTGTAAATTCAAGCTTCCTGAGCCTTATCCGCAACAAAACACATGAGCATGAGTAGATGAAATTGCTTTTGTATAGTGTAAATCAGCATTTCTTTTACCTATATACTAAGTAGAAATTGGATACAAGCAATTGAGCCACCATGTTCTACATACAACCATGGCCGAACATCATAGAACTAAGCAATCAGCTACGTTTTTGTTATGTAACTCAAAGGTAAAACAAAGGAATACAATTTCTGATATTTAAAGCTATGGAATCTGAGCAATTTCCACCAACATTTTGTGCAGCGATTGTGGCTTTGAGAAGAATGGGCAGTGGTCACTGCCTTTTATCTTGAACACTCCCTCTGGTGGGTTTTCCCTCACTAGCTTTTCTTGGACATCTGGGGAAAGTGCCCGATCATCTAATGTTTGAATGAAGAACCGCCGGCTAGTTCCATAGTTTTTGGGCGACAATGACAGTTTTTCCATGATCGGGCCTAGTGGGATAGGTCTCATGGAAACCATGGCCAGAGCAACATCCTGGAATGAATTAACTGCCGTTATAGAGATAATGTGAAAGGAAGTTAAATCAAATTAAGAATAGATGACGAGAAACCGAAGTATCTCAATAGATTATACCATGGTGAAGAAACCCAGGAAGGCCACACAACTTAGATTTTATGGTGTAACACTAAAGGAGACGGATCATCATATATTGTTCTCAGAAACAAAAGACTCAATGGAACAAGAAAATAAAGTTTACAAAAGTAGAAGAGAGTTAGAAACGAAAATATTATGTTTGTTTTGTTAGTAAACAAATTTTTAGGGGTTACAGTTGAACTCTTTAAATAAGGAATATCTAGCTGAATCTGAAAATATGACGTGTGTGTGCGCCTGTGCGTGTTTCTGTCTTAAATATGCTGGAGAGGTGAATCAGAAAATAATGGCAACATAATAGTATGCATAGTAAATGACAAATTTTAATTAAGTAGGACTCAGCTTTCATAAGTGACTACATACATCTTTGAGGAATAATATATGTTGATCTGGAAATATAAAATGTGTGTGTGTGTGTGTTTTAAAATAAAATTTCACACCCAAGCCCTTGATGGAAAGTGGATATAAAATGCTGGTAAGGTGAATCAGAAAATAATGGCAACAAAATAGTTCGGATAGTAAGCAACAAATCTTAACTATTTAGGACTCGGCTTTCAAAATTGACTAGGTACATCTGTGAGGCATCATAGATGCTGATCTGGAAACAGATATGAGACAGTGAAGATATGCTATTAATTTATGAACCCTTCACATGGTTCTACTTATTAAAGAGAAACAGAATGATTGAAATTGATTCTGTCGTTAGATAAGATAATCAGTACAATCTTGTTGCTTAAATACAAGGCTATACAAGTCAACAGCTGCCAGGTCAGCATAACAATACAATGACCTACGGTAGAATCTAAAATGTACAAACTAAAGTCTGTAGAGCACTATTTACAAGAACACAATATTTCATGCCTGTCCTACCTGTAAGTCTTTCTTCAATGGGATGGTTCTCGCTCTCAATTTTTGAATCAGAGCACTACCAAAAAACTAGTGCTAGCATCAAACATCTCACTTTCTAGCGTAATGGTTTTCCTTAGCCAACAAAATATAAAGAGAAAATGCAAAAACTAAGTCAAAGGAATATTAAATATTTGTTTCACGAAGATTACATATGCCCACTGTGTTGGTACAGGTAAGTACCAACTGCCAATAAAAAAAGTTAAGGACACGATACAGATTTCCAGAATTTTGATTGATCTAACTACAAAAAGAATGCGGTTAAACATATCTGGACACGATGGAGGTATCGTGGACTTGTATAAATGTAAAAACACTACTTGCATTCTCACTTCTATTTACATGTTCTCATCTTACTTTCCATTATATTTATTTAGCTCTGCATTTTGTTTCAAATCATTTAATGGGCACGTATAATATTCAGCTACATATAGTATTATAAAGGAAATGCATAACTTCTACAAAAATGCTGCTTCCTGTGAGGAAAAAATACTAAGACAATATTAACCTTGAAAAACTTGGACAAAGTTATCTGCTTTAGTTGAGAGTTGCACCATACCTTTGCAGGAGATTGATTGAAATATAACCCTTTCATCTGCTCTTTCTCAAACATGAATCCTGTAGGAGGCTTGTCTTTTCCATTCCCATGAATCAAAAACTTTGACCCTTGCATAAATTGTTCTGCAGAACCAAGCTGCAATACAGATTTCCTTCTTGAGAACACGAAAATCAGAGAGTATAAAGAAATTAAACTGCCAAGGGGAAGAAAATGGCTTGCTTGAAAAAGGAAATATAGTTTTATTTTAAGTTACTATAAGAACCTTCATTAATTATAAGAACATAGAGATAATTTTTCTACAAGAAAGGTGTGGAGGTTAGCATTCCCAATTTATATCTTGCAAGACAGTCCAGCATGCTACAACATGAGACAAACTGTCTATCATGACTGCATATTCATACGTATGATTCTGTATGATATGGGTCTGATTGACAGTGACAGCATAAGATGTTAAACTGCCTGGCTACCAAGTGAACATTACCATATATGTATTTACGCGCAGAGACACCCACCCACATATGCATGCACACACTCATAATGGATTCACTAGAAGCTTGGAGGTTTATTTAAATTTTTTACACAGATAGTTTTGCACGGATGAAATTAATATTTTTCAATGACATTGTATTCAATGCCTATGGTGTGACGAAATAGTTGCAATAGCTTGGAATTTTTTGAAAAGGAAGAAGCATTTTCTGTTGTTTAGAAGTACTCAGTGGCATTATGCTGCATGGTCATAACTTTCAGACAAGACCAACAAATTCTTAACAGATGTTAGCCTTAACCAGTTTATAATAAATTACCTCTTCAGCGAACACATCAAACGGTCTCTGGCCATCAGACACCATAGTAGCACAGATGAAAATTGCTTTTGAAATTTTCTGCGAAAAGTGCTCTAGTGCATAAGAAACACAGGCACCTCCATTACTGTGACCAACCAAGATAACCTACACGAGAATTAGATGTATAAATTTGACAGTATGTTACATGCTTAGTGTAATGGAATGAATAACATCTCAGCTTTTAACCTTTTCACCCTCTTCAAGATTTTCTAGATATTCAATCAATGGTTTTGAATATTCTGCCAGCGTAGCAACGGAGTTAGTATCTGTAAGATCAATACCAGAACCCTTGAGATCAAAGGTAACCGGAAGCAATCCTGCTTCCTCTAGTAGAGCAATTGTTTTGTACCAACACCATGCTCCAAACCCTTCTCCATGTACCAGAATAAATTTTTTTGTTTTAATATTCTCCAAATATTCTGGTACCTGTAAAATAAAATGAAATCAATAATCATGGAAATCATTCAAGGGAGGACAAACATGAAATGGTGGAGGACCATATCTTAGTAACTGATTACTATGCTCAGAGTTGCTTGTCTATATGAATCTATTGGCTACTAAAAAAAGCAGACTAGCAACCAAAACAAAGGAGCAGCAGGAAGGTGAAAGTTTTATGGATATTGGGAGTTGTACAAAGAGATGTTATTAATTATCATTTCCTAGAAGAGAAAAACTGTACTTTAATGGATTAGATGACCCGGTGTTGATTTTGAAAGCCACAGACCAATACTCTTACAGTTATGACATATTTCCAGCTCAGTTAAGGTCAAGGTTATAAAGAATTTCGAATACAAACAACACCGGGTTAAATAAGTACACATTTCTACAAAATTGAAAATACATCATACAGAAAAAGACATAAAATTTATGAATAGATGCCTTCACAATCTTGCTTAATGACCACCCCTTGATAAACAGCTAAATCTTTCAAGAATGATGGCTTTAACTTTATCTATGTTATATACATATTGGATATATAATATGAACTGCTTCCTGTTTTTATAGAAAAATCTGGGTATCCTGAAAAGGAACGTAACGTTGTTTAACAGTACGGTGGTTGCAATGGTAATTGGCAAAACAGGACTCAAATGGTCCAACAAGCTACATAATATAAAGATCTCAATACTATTTCGACTTCGTTCCGGGCTTTAGCACAATTTTCACACTCACTGCCATTAATAATGGTTAAATACCATAAAAGCACTGGTC